TGTGTGTGTGTGTGTGTGTGTGTGTGTGTGTGTGTGTGTGTGTGTGTATGTGTGTGTGTGTGTGTGTGTGTGTATGTGTGTGTGTGTGTGTGTGTGTGTGTGTTCCTGTGCATTTGTTCGTGTGTGAGACTGTGTGTATGTTAATGGGATACAACCTAGGGCCTCATGTGTGCCAAGCAAATGCTCTATCAAAGAGCTGCATTTCAGCTCTTTTAAAAGTTTTTATTTTGAGACAGGATCACGTACATTACTTAGTTTGGCTTTGAACTCCCACTGTGGCCCAGTTTACCTTTGAACTTGCAAACTTCTTTCTTCAGCTTTCCCAGTAGTGGGGACCTCAGACCTGTGTCACCAGACCTGGCTTGCTGTTGTTTTAAAGTTGATTAACCTTTTTAATGCTGTGGTGTTGCTGTGTTAGATTTGCTTATTTTAGATTTTATGTGTCTGAGTGTTTGCCTGCATGTTTGTGTGTGCATCACTTACCTGTCTGGTGCCCCTGGGGGTAGGAAGAGGGGGTCATAACCCCTAGGGTTACAGATGGGTGTGAACCACCATGAGGGTGCTGGGAACCAAACCTGGGTCCTCTGCCCAAGTATTCTTAATCATTGAGCCATCTTTCCAGCCCCTTCACTCTGTTTTTAAAAAGTATGTCTTGGCAGTTGCTTACAGATCTTTACTGTTACGCCTGCCTGCTTTTGTGAGTTCTAACTCTGAAGCGTGACTTTTTCTTTCTCTACTTTCTCTCTGTTTCCTGGATAACAACCAGAATCCCAAGCACGTGTGAGCTCAAGCTCTGAGCTTCCTCACCGTTTTCTCTGACTCGCCCTTCCCTTCACAGACATTTGCAGACCTTCATGGCTGGCTAATTCAAAGGCTCCCTCCGCCCAGCGGCTGCCAGGATTTTACAGCTTGTGTGGCTTTTCTCTCAAACCCTAATACAGTGTTCTTCCATTTTCCTTCTGAAGAAAAACCAACCAACCAAATAAATAAAATTATGTCTTAAATTCCTTCATTCTTTTATGAATTCTACTTTCCTAGGCTTGACTCTTTGGAGGAAGAGATTATTTCAAAAGGAGTTAAGCTTGTGATTGTGGACTCCATTGCTTCTGTGGTCAGAAAGGAGTTTGATCCGCAGCTTCAAGGCAACATCAAAGAAAGGAACAAGTTCTTGGCCAAGGAGGCATCCTTATTGAAGTACCTGGCTGAGGAATTTTCCATCCCAGTAAGTGTCCCCCTTCCTCTTTGTCTCTTAAGGTCACGACCTTACAGTGTCAAGCAATAAATTATTTAGTGAAGACTATTAAACAGGTGACCTTGTAGAGTTTGGTTGCTTTAGCAAATAACTTTGGTTTCATAAGTTACTCTGTCTGCTGAGATTATTTTCCCTTTATAACTTGACACCGGGGCAGACTTAAGTGTTTTTGACAGCTCCCATCATCACTTTCCCTATTCCTTCTCATTGTTAATTCGTTCTGTATGTTTTGTATCACATCTGTCATGCTGAGATTACTCGTGGAGTTGCCTGGGTCTATTCCTGTGAACTTTCTTTGCAGCAACCATGTGTCTTGTAGATTTTATAAATTAAATCTTTTAGGCTTTGTTCATATGTTACTGGGTCCAGTGCTTTTTTGGTTTGCTTCCAATGGGCAAGAGGTCAACCATTAATAGAAATGAGAAAACCTTACAAGAGCTGTTAGAGAGGTTTTCCGCCGTGGGCATTGTGGTCAGGAAATCCGAGGGGAGATTGTCAGGGTTGGTGGGGCACAGCATAGCAATGCATATTAAGCTACGCCCCACCCGCCTACCTGTAGGAGTGCTGTGCTTGTTCCCCTGCCTCGGGAGCACTGAGTATTGTGAGGCTTTGCTTTTATTTTCTCCAGACAGTCCTGCTGTCAAGCCCTGACTGTCCTCCCCGAGGACTTTCCTTTCTTGCCTTCATGCTGGGGTTACTGGTGTGGGTTACCACACACCCTGCCAGGCTTTTCAGTTTTAGCCATGTCCCACCTAGACAAGGAAATTCCTTAAACTGAGATAACATTTGCTTGAGACTTTATAATTTTTACTTGTTAGGGAGAAATGAAAATGTTGGGTCTTTGGGGCTGGAGAGATGGCTCAGAGGTTAAGAGCACTGGCTGTTCTTCCAAAGATCCTGAGTTCAATTCCTACCCCACATGGTGGCTCATAACCAACTATAGTGAGATCTGTTGCTCTCTTGTGGTGTGCAGGCATACATAAGGCAGAACACTGTCTACATGATAAATGAATAAATCTTAAAAATTTCTAAAAAAGTATCTTGGGTTTTTGTATCATAAAGAATATATACAAATTATGTGAGCCACCACGGACCCTTTCATTTATGAAGCTAAGCAAGAAGTTGGAAAAAGTGTCCCACACATACATGCTGCATATTTTAATGGCTCTAAAATTTATAGTTTGGATTAAAATAAGCTTATTACAAAGTTTATCTTGAGAATTGTCATCTTTTAAACTTTATGCTTGCTTAAAATGATATATTTGAATTTATATCGTTCCTGGTGAAGTAGAATAGAAAAATTTAAAGAATAGTTTAAAGAGCTACTAATTGAATGGAAATTTAAGATTATTTGCATACTTCTTTTTATTAATTTATACTGTTACTTTACCGAAGCCTGTTTAAAATGTGAAAATTAGTTTTTTTTAAAAGGTGTTTTTTTTTTTTAAATAGTTATAGGTGGATGCTTTGCAATTTACTAAGATAATATATCTTTCTGAGTAAGAAAAAAGAAACTTTTCTCTGCTTTTAGTAGAGCTCCGTGAAACAGCATGCACTCAAGGTCTGCACCCTGAAGAACATGACCGTGACTGTGAGCTGGTGTATTAGCCATCAATTGTCAGTCTCTAACCTAGATGCTTCTCCGTAGTCTTAGTAGCCAAGGTTTGCAGTGAAGAGGTGAACACGCCTTTAATCCTAGGAGGCAGAGGCTGGCCGATCTCTTGAGTTCAAGGCAGGCCTCGTCTTCACAGGGAATTTCAAGCCACCCAAAGCTATACAGTGAGACTCTTGTTAAAAAAAAAAAAAAAAAAAAACTAAATAAAAGAGGAAACTTAGAAATTTAATAGTTTTTTTTTAAATTACTTGAAGGCACTGACTCCCCTCTCCCACTATTTAAGGAATTGTTATTAGGGCAAGAATTTTATAATCTAATTATGTTTTCTTGCTCAGTTATTACAGTAGCTCTGTATAGCCAAGCTCTTTAACATTAAAATAATTTACAAACTAGTGTTTGCTGGACCTGGCATTTGTTCCCTACATAGATTCAAAGTTTCCTTTTCTTTTAAAATTTGTTTTATATTTTGCATTTTTTCATAATATTTAAAATTTTCAATGTTCAGATATTTTTCTTCTTTGAAGCATGATTTTTTTTTTTTTTTTTTTTTTTTTTGTGGTCCCTGATCAAATTTAGTCATTCGAAACCCGAGTAGTGCTGTTTACTGCCTTCTGCACAGCCTTTTTTCGCTTGCTGTGGGTGTAGTGTGGCTGTGGCATCATCGGCCTTTGAGTGGAGAGGCTCTGGATGCTCAAGAGTGTGGCGGAGTTCTCCAGCCCGCTGTTTGGGAACAAGATCAGGAACCTCTCACTGCTTCCATGTTGGCATCTGCACCCCCTTTGAGAGCAAAAGCACATACAGGGTGATAGACTGTTTCCTCTTTTTCAAGCCATGCACCCTACACTTGCTGATACTCCCTTGAACCTTCATTGCTATTTCAGTGTTGTTACTCCAGAAAGATGATGAAACAGATGTAATCCTTCATAACTAATGATACTTATGACATCAGCAGGTATACTACATTTGAAATCAACACAATGCTGTACAAATATTTATGCTAATTTAATGTTATAGATGATAACTTGCTAGGTTTATATGTTTATAATATGCCTATATTAACCTGTGTTACAGCTTCTTTTGACTTTAACATACTTGTCACAGTTAATGTGATGACTCAGGTTTTCTCTTGTCTTGTGAGCCACTAGCAAACCTTTTGTTGGGGCAGGGTGACATCATTTGGGCCTCTTGTGGACATGGATGTGCTTATATTTTAATTCTGTCATGGCTCTTGTCTACATTAGTCACTGACCATCAAAGAGGCTCTAAGTGACATCACTTTCCTGGAAGCACATATATTATTATGGCATGGAGGAGCTGAATTATAAAATTAAACATTCTCTGGAGAGAATTTTATAGAGTTGAATACATTAAGACTGTGGTTTGAGAAACACAGTTGCAGAAGTCTGGTGGAATCTTTTCTTCTGAGCTTTGGGGAGCTTAGGCACATGCTGCTGTGGGGTGGAACTTTTGTCTTTAAAGCATGTTCGTGCTAGTAGTGGAAGAAGCAGTAGATCCTGAAACTGTTTGGTAGAAATAATATGAGAGAAGTTTAGATGTTGCTTTCTAAAGTCAGGGGCAGTGTGGTTGTATTGCCTGTTCACTGCCCATTCTGTTTACCATCTACAAAGCAATAATGTCACACTGTGAGTTGTAGATCACATTAAGATAATAGGACCTTCTTGGGGAAAGTAATTGTTAGAAAGGTTACAGTAGGTGCCCCTCTTCTTTTATAGAGATACTGTTTTTTTTTTCTCACCTACACTTGTTAAAATCCTGATCATACTTTATCATCAGCGCTAATAAAATATTACAAAAATAAAATTCATTAAAATAATTAAGATTTTGGTAATTACAAAATTCTCATATTGTGCTTCTGACTTGTGACATAGATTTTTGTACCTGCTTTTGCCTGTTCTGCCTTTTTAAGAATGTTCAGAGCTTTTAGGAGAGTTTCATGAAGTTGCTCTATGAGATAGAAGTCATAAGATCATTGATGTAGTCAAACAGTGAAGTCAGAGCCCATACTGTATATGATTATCGTGTGACTTCTCTGGAATTCAGGTCTTCTGGGTTCAGCCTGGCCATTCATACAAGTCACTGAGAGCAAACACCTCTGACTCCAGCTTGAGGAGGGCTCTGTGTATCGTTTTGTTTGCTTACACTGGAGGCCACGCTCTCCCAGCCTATCCATTTTCTGTCTACAGACCTTAAACTCAACTGTGTAGTCAGCCTTTCATCAGCTAATGAAATCCTAGAAAACTTGTCTTTCTTTTCTGTAGCTCTTTCTGATGTGAGAAATTTTCTGATGTCAGGAACTAGAAATAGTCCAGGTTAATGATTGACAAGGTAGCATTGGTGTGTCTGAAGGGTGGTTGGTATAGTGTGCGTTGCTGGGATGAATGAGGTAGCCCAGGAGCACACTCACTGTGAGGAAAGGGTTAACTCAGCTGGCTCAGGTTGCTCAAATCTAGCTCATTTCCAGAAAAGACCTTCCTTTGGGCCTGGCTCTTGCCTGGGTCCTGGGAGAAGAACTCTGAGGCCTGGGAATATTCCACCTAGTAAGTATTTTTGTATGCCTGAGGCTTGAGGCACCAGGTGCCAGTTTGATCACAGTTTATGCAAACAGTATGGTTTGTGGTGAGCATTGATTTTGCTCAGGGGACTGAAGTCTAATTAGCCGAGGTCCTTTAAGTGGGCACTGCATACCTCCTGACTGACCCCTGAGAAGAATCTGGACACTGAGGGTTGAGCCAGCTTTCCTGATTAAAAACAATTTGCACATGTTCTGAGTCATGGCTGAGACATTAAGCACATCCTTGCAGCTCCACTGGGAGCTTCTCCTAGTTTCCCTGTACTTTGTCGGGCGTTTCTCTGCTGATTCTGTCTGTCTCTGTTTCTTAAAAGTCATAACTGAGGGAAGGGAAGGGAAAGAAATGGGAAAGAGAAGGAGCCTTAGCTGTAACATCTGTTTTGAGCTTATGTTTTTAAAACTATTTTTATTATTGTATATTGACAGTTTATAATCTTATGTATTGATGGGATCCAAAGTGATGTTACAAACAGTGTTAATGTTTATTGCTTAAGATTGGCAAGATTTAGCTAATAGTGTTCCAACAAGAGTAATTCATTAACGTTGATGATTGTATTATGATGTACTAAGTAAGATGGTAGGAGGAGCTAGGGGAAGAGAACTCGCTATTCTCACTGCAGCTTTACGATGAATCTGAAATTATTGCAAAGTAAATGGTTTTTAAAATGAGGCAAGGCAGAAGATTGCCTTTGCCTTAGTTAGCCGGCAAACTCATAAAGATAGCGTACTAGTTGGGTCTAGAGAAGGGGATGTGCATCTGAGGTACTGG